GGCAGTGTTTTGTTTTGTTGTGCACAGGGTCGCTATGAGTCAGTACCAACTCGATGGCACCTAACGACAACAACAATAGCTCTGGGCCTCAGGGGTGTGACATGAGAATGGGCTATCCAATGGAAATGTCAAGAAGCAACTAAATTTATATAACTAGGGTTCAGCACTGGAAATATGGGTCAGGGAATCACCTGAAGAGAAGGTTTGAAACACCTCAGCAGCAAAACTATGTTTAAAGATCAAACTATTAAGTGATAGAAACTGTTCTAATTTAAGAGTCCAGAAGAGGAAAACAGTCTAGGTAAGGCAGAGTGGATTGGGAGGTAGAAAGGGAATTCATAAAACCTAACTGAAGAAGGAAGTCAATAATAAGAGGTTATTCTAGAATCAAATGCTACAGAGAAACCTGGAGAATTGAAGACTGACTTTAAAAGGCACTGGACTGACAAATAAGAAAATGGTTCACTCTTGACCAGTCAGTCACAGCAGACTGTGGAATGAGGCAGGATGAAGAACTGGTCTTTGACAGTATTCTAAATGAGGTTATTTTTAAATGCCATGGAGTCAGTTTCAACTCACAGCAACCCTGTAGAGGGTTTTCAAGGCTTTAAATCTTTTGTGGGAGCAGCAAGCTTCATCTGTCTCCCACAAAGTGACTGGTGGCTTGAACCAGCAACCTTGTGGTTCACAGTCCAGTGCTTATCCTATGGAGCCACTGCACTCCCTAAATAAAGTTGGATCAGTAAAAAGAAGCAATATCAAGTGTTAGGGCCAGGACTACAACGAAGTGAGTGAGCACTTGCCTGGGCCCTGAGAGTGAGTGCTTCCTTAAAGGTTACACCCTGTGTACCTCACTTGTTTCATCCTAATCTTGGCCCTATGACGCAGTATTGAGCTACAGTCTCAGAAACACTATCCAAGTAGTGAGTTTGGTTTGGTTTGGGTTTGGCTAACTGTTTGGTTCATTTTAAGATAGCAGATACATGAGTATATCCGAAAAGAGGGGAGAGCAAATAAAAAGGGAAAGAGTAAAGATTCTGGAGAGAAAGATATTCCTCAGATTATGATCTTCAGGAAGTGGCAAAATGAGTTAGGAAAAGAGAACGGGGGTTTGGGGGGAACATACCCAACAAGACAATAGGATAACCTTGGAGAGATACCTAAAGACAGGCTTTGGGGTGGGAGTTAAGTGGCAGAAAATAGCAATGGAACTTCATGGAAAATAGAAATGTTGAGTGACATTCCATAAATTCCTCTTTACTATGCTCAAGTGTACTTGTATGTATGATAATGCAACATTAAAGATGTCAGATAAATTTGGTAAACAAGAAA